GAAGTTGGTAACTCGTCTCGTTGAAGCTTATGACGAGTAAATCGTGGAACTCCTTCATCTCAGGTTTAAGATATGGTCTTCGGCTCAGTGCGTCCGCGATACCGTTCTTCGCTCCTGGTAAATACGCAAAGACTGACTGCTATTCTGCGAGGATGTCGTTTTAGCGGGGTAACCGTCTATTCGCCATCTTCTGCTGAAAAATTCCCTCGATTGACTTGTGGTCCGTCTCGATCATCACCGGTCGATCAAACAGTAAATCCGAAACGCCGCCGACGCGTTAACAATCGCGAGTAGCTCCTGCTGTTGAGTTGGGTACTTCAGCTCTGCTGACTTCGGCTTCCGGCTGGTATAAGCGATTTGCCGCTCGATTTCATCGACAACTTGAGAGAGAACACCACCCACAGCGAACAGACTTGCGTCCGTCCGCAAGTGCATCTGCTTTGTGAAGTCGGGTTAATGTAGAACTGGTGTGTCGGATAGTCGTCGTCTCAGATCCTTGAAGCTCTTCAACTGCACTGCATTCAGTGTTATCTTCGCATTCCGCTGGTTTTACTTCTTCAACAGAGTAAATAGTGGTGCCGTCAGTTCAGCATTCAGCTTACACAATCGCTGCACGTATCCAGTTAAACCAAGAAAGCTGTGGGGTTGTTCTTGGGTCCTTGGGATCGACCAATCGCGAATTGTCTGTACTTTGTCTGGGTCTATACGAACTCCGTTTCGGCCAATAAAATCACCAAGACACGGGATCTCTTCAGCGCAGAACACACACTTGGACAATTTCACGTACAGCTTGCTCTCCTTGAGTATCTCCAGCACGTCGCGTAGCGCTTGCAAGTGCTCGTTGATGTCCTTCGACTTCGTGAACACGTAGATATCATCCTAGAATGATCTGGTGTGCGACAACCCCTTGAACAACGACGACGTCAACCTATGCATAGTTGCAGGAGCATTGCTGACTCACATAGGTAGTACCGGGAATTCATAGATGCCGCTTGGCGCTTGGGATGCGGTGTACTTCGCATGATCCATCTTCATTTGAACTTGGTAGTACGCTGACATTAAATCCATACACGAAAAATAGTAGGCGCCAGCCATACTATCGAAAACGTCTTTCTTGCGCGTCATCAGAACGCTCTGTCTGATCGTGTTGCTGTTGAGGTACCGGTAGTCGTGAACGATACGCCATTTCACTGGTTTGTGTACGCAGAATGTCGGTGCAGCGTGAGGGCTGATGCATGGTCGAATCAGTCCCTTCGCGATCATCTCGCGTACCCACTTGTCGATTTCCGTCTTCTGCTCTGGCGAGAGACGCCACTGCTGCAGATACATTGCAGTGTTTGGGTCCTTCACGTCGATACGGTGCTCCATGTCGCGCTCCATTGGCAGTCCATCGGGCAACTCTGGCTTGAACACATTATCCTTGTACTCGACGAGAACTGGGTATGCTGGGTTATCCTTGAACGTCTCCCAGTCCGTGTTTAAAAAACGCCTGGCCTTCTCGGATCCAACGTTGTCTAGCTCATCGTTCCTCTTAAGGTCTCGTTCGATCGCCTTGATCGTATCGTTTGTTACCACAATCATGAAGTCGTGTTCCGGTAAGTCCTTCGCAGGTAACCGTAGGAACTTCCGTAGCTTCTTCCTAGTGATGTACTTGGTCTCAACTCCTTCCGAATCAACCACTCCGAGAGTAAACATTGCTTCAGCTCTAGCGTTCTTCTTCCCACGCTTCGAGAGCTTCTCCACGTCCTCAGCTGGTCTTTCAGCGCTTTCTACTTCGCCCTCCAGTCGTGTTTCTGGCACGGCGGCTCGACAGGAATCACGGCTTATCGCGGCAGAGCGCTCGCAATCCGCAGCATCGTGAAGCCCAGAGCCATTAACCTGACTGCGCTCCTACAGGGAGTCGAAATGTCCGCCATTGAGGCTCCATCTGAGACGCATACCTTGAAGCAACGGTTCTTCCAGTCGATTTCTGGATGTACATCCACAAAGAATGGCATCCCGAGAACACAGTCAAACTCCTCAGGAATATCGAAGACAACTGCTACACACTGGTATCTTCAGCTCGTGCTTCTTGACGAATCCACGAGACACGTATACGGTTGTGGCACCACAATCCAACAGCATCTTGGCACCGAAATTTTTACACCCTGTACTATTGATCCTTGAATCGAAAACAATGGCGCACGAGTGTAGACGAGAGGGTCTTCGCAAAGCAGATTCAACGTATCCTCGTTTACGGTTAAATCTTTTTCGCTAGCCTTCGCCACGTCAGGTTCCTCTTCTACTGGCGTGGCTGATCGTTTCCCTCGTCACTCTTCAGCTTCTTGCAATCACGCTTGAAGTACCCTGGCTTCTTGCAATAGTAGCACACGGGTCGTTTCTTGGCTTGTTCTGCGGGAGCGTAGTGACCGGGCTTGAAGGACTTCTTTCTGAACGGCTTCTTGTTGTTGGACTGGTTAGAGCTTGCTCGTCCGCGGGACTGTTGCTCACGCTCCGGCTTCTCGCGGGTCTGTTTGCGCTCGCCACCGAAATGAGACATCTCATACTTGGCAGCATGGGCCATCGCCTCACTCAGCGTCGTCGCGTTTTGAAGCTTAACATAGGCCTGAGTCGCACGCTTGAGACCGTCACAATAGTAGCTGACTTGTTCGACTTCGCTCATGTCCTCAACGCGGAAGATCAACGACGAATACTCCCCATTGTACTCTTCGATGTCATTGACCTGACGGAACTCACGTAGCTTCTGTCGTAGCACCGCTTGATAGTTGGAGGCTTCGAAGTGAGCGAGGGCATCATTCGTGAGCCGACGCCACGTCTGCATATCCGCGAAAGTTCTCGAGACCCAGAATAGGAACCATCCTGACGCAGGTTCCTCCATCGCCGTCCCAGCAATCGAAGACAGCGTGTAGTTGTCGTCCGTCGTGTCGTGACCGTCATTTCGGCACAGGGTCTCAGCTTGGAAGAGCCACTGGTGCACATCGTCGTCACGCTTCCCCTTAAACTTCGGCAGGCCGATCGGAACGCGAGCCTTGGACTCTATCGGCGGTTGACGCTGTGCTTGATCGCTGGCTTGGAGGGCTGTAATCTCGGCACGTAGCTTTGTGAGCTGCGCTTCAAGCTCGGCTTGTCTCTCTCCTCCTGGTGGCGCGTCTTGGTCGTTCTTGCGCGTCGCGGGGGCCATGGTCGTCGAGTCTAGATCAACAAGTGCTACCAGTGTAACAAACTGGCCCCTTGGTGGAGGAAGAGGAGAACGAAGAGGGTCTTGGGGCTGGCGGGGAGAACGCAAAGTGTGCTGGTCTCCCCGATCAACTGCCCTCAACCAAACAGTTCGTTGAGAAAACCCCTGTATTATTTATATCAATCTCTAAAGTGATACATCTCTATCTCGATACTATAGGTTATTCGATACACATACTATCGTGCCTTCCGCCCCCCCCCAATGGTTTCCCGTTCATCCTTCGTGCCGGTGCGCACCTGACGTCCTGAAGTTGCTGTTGCAGGCTGCTCGCATAATGCTCGAAGACTTGCAATATGAATATGGCGGGATTGAGCATGAAGTCTTGATATTGTCCTTCGTCTGAAGTCTGCTCTTCGCCAGCGTCCCCTCCCTCAACGCCCGCCTTCACTTTTGCCGCCCACTGATTTATTGGTTTGGTTTTAGTCCATTTAACCTTGCTGATCATGCTGTGCATTTTCGCCTTGAAGGACTTGGTGGTGTCGTAGAGCTCCTCCGTAGCTGCTATCGCATAACCCCAGTCCACATACGAGCCATCCGTAATAACACACGTTTCCTATAACAGCTAGTACAACAATAGTTTATGTCGCCTTTAAGCTTATGGTAGCGCTGCTTCCCGGATGGTATCAACTCTTCTTCGAGACGAATCTTGTTGTGCGCGATACTGAAAAGTTCAGTGATCGTCATTGTCCATGCTGTCCAAGGCTGCTCGCTCGTCGAAGTCTTCATTTCTACAACAATTGTCTCAACCATCTCGCTAGGCTCTATCCCCGCGTATTGTTGACCCGGCCTGACTGAGGTTCCTGTTCGCCATCTGAACTGGGTATGCCAATGGTTGGCTCTACGGTTTGCTCCTTGTAGCGACTGGTCTGCTCATGATCCTCCACTTTAATCTATTTCTGTTTTATCCTTAAATTTTATGGTCACCGGTTGGCAGGCTTTCTTATGATGGTTCGAGCCAGTGTCTGGGGGTGCATCCGGTTTTAGTTCCGCCATCTCATCGTCGTCTTCCTCAGTCGATTGCTGCGTTTCGGGTACTACAGAATCTTGACTAAACTAGATATATTCTATTTCGTCGGAGCTGGGTCCAGTGCCGGCGTTGTCAGGAAGGGTTCCTTTGACAGGATGTCACGTCTCAGGGTCCGGCGGTTTGACCTACCTGCCTGGATCCTTCAGGGCCTTTATCGAGAAGGTCTTTCAGTAAAGATCTCAAAACTAAACCGAGTGAATCTTGGTTTGAATTGGGATACACTCGATCTTTTGAGCGACGACTGCTGCTACTAGGCGGCCGGGGCTTTGCTGGGTGCGCCGCCGATTCGAAAATGGGGAATTACACTTTGTTGAGAAACGTTCATTTCAGTGTGCAGAGATGCATCAGGTGGGGTGGGGGTAGGGGTGGGGTATAATCTGTGCTCGACACAAAAACCTAAACAATATAGGGTCTGAAGTAGGAGATCTCGTATACGGTAATCTCAAGGGCTGTCAAGGCTTTACCTTTAGAGCCACACACAGCGCGCAGTCCGCCTGGGTCAGTGCCAACGAGAATGTCGGCTGGTGGTTGGGTCACCCTCACTGGGTGTCACCCAGTGGGTGATATCGGCGGCCCCAACGCAAGCGTCTCGATAGTGGATACACATCTCACGAGATGTGGATTGGATGAAAGGGGATCATTTACCCTTTTGTCCAATCAGCATCGTTTACTACTTCTTGGCTTACTCTCAGTATGTCTCCATTACTTCCTAGCTTAACGACTCGCGCCACAAAGCAAGAGCCCGCCACGCAGCCGCATCGTCGGGTCCCTGTAGCCTCTCGCAAGCCCGACCCGCCTCCCCTGGCCAGCTACGCTCGTAGCACTCTGTCTCTGGTCCCAGTTTGTGCTCTCCCGGTGATTGTAAACTGGTTCTAGCCTGAGATCCGGGGCCAAGAACAAGCTCGAATTCACTACTGAGAGCTCGGATGCCCCCAGGGCCGCCACTTGCTGCTAAACGGTGCGTCTTGGTGAAATACATGCACGTATATATATTTCTCGCGGCTTTGAGCAGCGCGGGAGAAGCTAGCGTGGCTGTCCGCCGCCCCACTAGAAGCTTAAAACTTCCTCTAAGTCCTCACACTCTACCGGTGCTTCCATCGCACCCCACTATTTTCCCTGCTGCAATGTAGAATCCTCTCCTATGAAGAAGAGCCACCTCATGTCGCCTTCGCCTTCGTCAACGCGAGGCCCGCGCTCAGTGTCGCCGCCGAAAGGATCTCCAGTGTATGGAGAGGGCAAGATTTCGCTGCGCGTGGACCAGCCTGTGGAGGGCTGTACGATGATGACGCACGCCTTTTTCCGCTCCGGAGACGGCGACATTGACGATAAGGATGTGGACATGCAATTCCACTGGTTCAGGTCCTCCATGCGGCGTGCGTGTGCCAACAGCGAGTGTACACGCCACACCAGCGACGGTGCTGGCAATGTACTGCTGCTCGTGGCCAAGATCGAGTGCGTGCAGTGCTGCAGACTGGGCATCACAAGGGAACACTCGTGCTTCTGCAGTTCAGATTGCTTCCGTTTGGCCTGGCACAAGCACAAGCAATTGCACGACTCGCAAGCGCTGGTCGAGGCGCAGCTGCGACAAGGAGACGGCTACTTTCCGTGGAAATCGCAATTACACCATATGGACACGTTCTGCCCGCTGCCGAAGGAGTCGTGGGTCAAGGTGCAGGAAGAAAAGTAGGGAACCGCGTCGTTGACCCGTTTGGTCGAGACTGAGTTTCTCACGCACATGCCGCTATTGTCTTACAGTCGGTCGTACACACCTACCGCCGAGGACGTGGGCCACGTGATTCGAGTAGAATGTAAGGCCATTAAGCGTGTCGGCGGCGGCGTACTGACCAAGACAGTCGATACTGGGCTCGTGCTGCCGTGTAAGTGTGTGCTCTTTGCTCTGCTAGGCTAGATCACTACTCTGTGTGTGCTGAAATTGATGACTGTGGTTCGACCAAAGTTCCACCCATGCCTCCAAGGCGGCAGATGCTGGCGAATGTGAACGAAGAGCGACTGACACCACGACTGCGGCAGATTGGCGTCTTCCGCGTGCTCACGTACAATATCCTGGCTGAGATCTACGCGACGCGACAGATGTATCCATACTGTCCGATCTGGGCTCTTAGCTGGTCGTTCCGAAGAGAGTTATTAAAGCGCGAGTTGCAGTCGTACAACGCCGACATCATTTGTCTCCAGGAGGTGCAAGGTGACCACTACAAGAGCTTCTTTGCGCCAATGATGGAAGAGTGGGGATACGAAGGCTGGTATCTGAAGAAATCACGTGAGTCCATGGGTCTTGAGGGAAAAGTGGACGGCTGTGCGCTGTTTTACAAGCGCAACCGCTTCATTCTCAAGGAACGGTACCCGGTTGACTTCAATGACCTGGCAAACGACTTCCTCACGCAGGTGCAAACGGAGTACGACTTAGACTACCAGGGCCCGTCGATGGCCGCACGTGAAATGTTCTTGTCAACGCTAAACAAGATGCGACAGCGACTTCAGCGTGACAATGTGGCTCAGATCGCAGTGTTGGAGGTGGTTCCAGCGAACAACGAGGTGGTTGCGCGAAAATCTCAGTCAGGCCCGTTGATTTGTATCACGAACGTGCATATTTTCTCCAATCCCAAGTTCCCGGACGTCAAAATGTGGCAGACAAATATGCTGGCGAAACAGGTATTAGTTCGTGTTATCACCAATCTTGGACCAAAGGCGCGCATGTACTGATGTAGTTTTTGGCTGATTGCGTTTGTGACAGCTTGAGCGAGTCACGCTAAGTCGCAACCTGCCCACGATACTTTGTGGCGACTTCAACAGTGAACCTTCTAGCGCTGTGTACGAGTTTATGACGCGTAACCATGTTCTACTCGACCATCCGGACATCCAGTGTCCACCGCAGCAGCTCGCGAACATCTACGCGTCGCTTGACTTGGAGCACAACATCGGCTTTGCTAGTGCCTATGCTTCAGTCTTTGGTGCTGAACCGGAGTACACCAACTACACAGGTGCGGTCAGCTATTCAGCTAAGTGTGAAGTGATATTTGGAGGTCTCGTAACTTGAAACGCTGTTGCTCGTTGTCAGGGCACTGGACAGGTGTGGTGGACTACGTTTGGTATACACCGGAGACGCTGACTCCGTTCGCCGGGCTCAAGGTGCATCCGCCTGAAGTGCTCGAGGCTTATTCGAAGACGGCGCTGCCCAACTGCCAGTTCCTATCGGACCACATTCCTTTGTGTTTAGACTTCAGCATAAAGGCGGCCGCCATCAACAATGGTAGATACTGATAGAAAAACTTTGAAGTCTTGCGGTTTTGAGTACCCAATCAGCTTCAAGTCGGACCTCAATGTGACTCTTACAAATGTCAAGCCAAAACATGTCGCATTTCGTCACCAGCTGTCTACTACCACATAAAACGCCGCACTTTCACTCCTTACTGTACTTCACTTCCGATAATTACGCTCACGATGCAGACGTCGCAAGTATACGCGGTAGACCGCGTATACGGCGACCTGCAGCCGCAGTTTGTAGCTAAGGACGTGCTTAAGGCGCTGTCCCAGCTGGACGCCGTGGTGGGGGACGTGTTCAATCGCTTGGAGCATAAAGTTTCGCAGGAGAAGGAGCGTGTAGCCGCCGTGGACAAGCGCATCCAGGTGTGTCAGGCCAAGGTTAACGCGCTCACGGCTCGCCGCACGAGCAACAAGCCCACGACTGTATTCTCCACCTCCAAGTACCCGGCGCCCAAGCACATACCGCTGCCCAAGACGCTGTTCCACGACAAACCGTATGCCGATGCACCGCCGCTGGTGCCTGATGCGGACGACGACACGCACTTCCTCCCGGCAGAGCCACTGCCCCCCGCTCAAAGAGGACAACACATGGCTGAGGTGGTGGAACTCTTCGAGAAGGTGAACGAATACCAGAAGACACAACAGCCTGAGGCTGATATGGAGAAGGAGGGACTGGGTAGATTACCCGAGTATATCCCGTCTGTAGGCAGCGTGCTGCTCTTCAATTCCGGAGAGAATCCGTACCAGAAGGTAAGGAGGACGGTGAAAGGGAGAATGGGAATGTGGACTGATGCGTTTGTGTTGTAGTACACGTCGTGGGATAATCTACTGGGCACAGACTACGAAGAGGAAGAGGAGAAGCGGAAGGAACTGGCCAAGGCTCCTCGCACGATCGAATACGGAGACGAGTTGGTACGTGGAATGAATACTGGATCTATGTTGGTCTGATGACTGATGAAGTGTTTGCTGCTGGTTTTTAGCCGGCCGTGCACGGACTCAATTACGAGTTCCACCCGTCGATGGGCATCATGCCCGACATGTCGGCGAAGCTGCCGACGAACCTGCCGCTCGAGAACATCGCCGACTACAAATACGCGCAAGAGAGCAACGCGTCAATCGCTCCGTCCATGTTCCAAGACAAGACGCTGCCGGATCTGCCTACAGTTGCGAACTTTGAGGAGGGACCTGTGGCCCAGGAGCCGTCGGAGCAGAACTTTCAGGTGGGCCCGGTAGACGGTGCTCCCCCACCTCCTCCACCGGCGCCTACTGTAGACTTTACCAAGATTGAAGATGACGCTCCTCCTCCACCTCCTCCGCCTCCGCAAGGGGACGACGAAGATGACTTGGCCCCACCTCCGCCGCCACCACCCATGGCAAATGGAGAGGACGATGATGCACCACCCCCGCCGCCGCCTCAAGAGGTATGGTTCTCAGTCAGCTGGCAGCATTTATTCGTTTAGTGCTGACACGTAACTACACTTTGCTGGACAGGATGGACCCCCAGCGCCACCGGCCGCGGAGGAGGAAGACAACCAACCGCCGGCCCTCAGCTTGCTGGATCAGATTCGTAACCCCAAAATTAAGCTCCGAAAGGTTGGATCCGTTGATGCTGCGCTACGAAGCTCATGTCACTAATTTCTGTGTTATCACGCATAACCATAGGTGGACCCAAGTGAAAAGAAGGCGGATCCTATCGCGAAGGCAGGTGACAGTGCAAACAAGCCGTTGACAATTGCTGAAGAAATGCAGCAGCGAATGCTTCGAAGGCAGGCTGCTATCAGCGGCAAGCAAGACCAAATGGAGCAGAGACGCGAGCGCGAGAAGGCAGCTGCGAAGCCTGTGACAGTTTTGACTGCGAAGGAGGTGACTGCTCCAGTGCAGCCTCCTCCACCCCCTCCTCCGTCTGACGACGGACAACAACACACTAAACTACCCACGCTGGCTATGTCAGACGATGGAAGTGACGATGGCCGCGGCCACATGTCCGACGACGACAAGTCCACCGATGGGGACGATTTCTTGGCTCAAATCCGGAACATCAAGAGGAAGCAGGATGAAGGCTCTACTCAGCCAAAGCAACCGCCGCCACCGCCCAAGACGGAAGATGTCAAGAATCCAGTGGCGAATTTTGAATCGGTACGTGACCTCCTTGAGCATTTAGTGGTTCATCGGATGGGCGGAGACTGATATTTGTATGTGGTGTCTTGTAGCAAATGATTGGACTACGGAACCGTGAAGATTCGCTGAGCATGTCTGAAGCTTCAGACTGGTCGGACGACTAAGTACTGCGTGTCATGGGTACATGTGAAATCACACCGATGGCGTCTTCAGGTCGAATGTTGCAGCCGTCGCTCAATCTTGGTATCGCCAACGTTTTGCTAGTCTGTTGCGTGTGTTGATCATTGCGTTGTTTGCATATTGCTTCATTGTAGCTCCTTCCTCATCAGCTATCTCATTTCCCTTCAAATGACAGTCACAGGTGACACGGCCACACCCAGAGCACATTACAGAGTCTAGATCTTCTCGGAGATCGGTCTTCGGCAGTCGATAGTGATACGAATACTCCTGAGTGATCGCGTGCATCTTCTGAACAGCCTCCTTAAATCCATGGACGATGCTGGAATCACGCTTCATCGCCATCATCACCTCGCCCTGCTTGGCTCGTGACCTCGCGGCATCTTCAATTGCCTGCTTCAACTTGCGTTTTACAAACTGCTTCTTCTCAAACGCCAGTACACCCAATTCCTCCACTTGGCGTTTATCCAACGCCTCCTTCTGTAACAGTTGAAGGTCTTTACGCTCACGCGCCACGACATATTTACGCACGTTCCTCGTGCCCCATCGAATGCGCTGCAATCGAATTCTCCGAGCCCTCTCGTCGGCAAACATCATCGCAGCTCTCTGTAGCTCCACGTCGCGATAAGACTCGAGTTCCATGGTCTCGTTCAAAATGCACTCTTCCATGTCGCGTTCCAGATCTTCCAGTTCGATACGCAAGTCCTCAATTTCTTCTTCGTACTCCCTCACCTGCTGCTTTTTGGAGAGAATATCTTCCAGACTGAGCTCGAGACTGAAGTGTATAAGGTGCTTTTCAGTCTCGAATGCTTCGCCCCAGCCTCGATCCATGTCTTCCTCAGTGAGTTGACTCAATTCCTGTTCAACTACCGGTTGTCGTCGTTCCCACTCAATTCGCATCTCCTTCATCTCCCTGATTCGACGCAGCATCTTGGCCTTGTACTTCATAACACGTTTCAAATCGGCACGAGCGTCGAAAACGTCGAACTCGATCATTTCACGGTCCTCTTTCGACTGGGTAAGCGACGTCGCCTTGCGTTCGATCGTGGAGCAGAATCGGAACTCTTTCAGCTGCTTCCGACTGCAATAACTTCTCCAAGCTGCTTGAGCGGCAAGTGCAGCCTTCCCGTACCGTGCGTGGTGTGTGAGACGACGAAAGTCAAGTTCTTGTCGTGCCCGGTAGCAGAGATAACACCGTTGAATTCTTCCAGCTGCGGACTCACGAAGCGCGAGTCGAAAGCCACGTAGTTTCTCTCGAATCGTCTTGACGGTGGATCTGGAGCGCCACATTTGCTGCAACGTTATGGCAGCTTCAATCTGGTCGCGGATGCCTTCGAGTCTCTTTCGCACAATGTAGCCACGGAATACGCGTTGAATTCTTGCGGCGGACGGTTCAATTACACGTCGAAAGTGCCGCTTCTGCTTTTCGCGCTGAATAAACTTCCTTGTGAGAATTCCTCGCGCAATCGAACCAATTTGCGACGCCATCCGATCCATTCGGCGCAACTCCATGAGATCCATCCACTTCCGGAAGAATCGGCGAGAACGCCATAACTTCTGAATACTTCTCGCTGCTTTATCCACAGCACGAATCTTCATCACTGAACATCGAGCTAAGAAACCTCGGACCAACTTCTGGATTCGCACGGCAGCAGGAATGTATACACGAGCTTTCTCTCTTTCTTGTCGTTTACCGTTAACTAATACTCGATCACGTTGCCCTCGCCATACCCTCTGGATACGTAAGCATGCAGGAATAACGACTTGTTGCTTGTGCTGGGCTAAGAAAACACGCCGAGCTCGACGCCTCCCCATAAACCCCCTCACGAGTTTTTCCATAATGACCGCATTAGCTTCCAGGCGACGTAATCGCCGGGCGTGTCCTCTTCCGAGAAACCCACGACATACTCGCTGGATATCGAGTGTTGCGCGCTGGTATCGCGTACGCATCGCCTTGGTATCATGTCTAGACTTGTACGACCAATAGACTGACTGAATGATGAGCGCAGCACACGTGACAACGCGGAAGAAAGCTCTTGAGTACTTACGCCGTTGGTGGCCACGAAATAGGCGCTGAAGTGCCATAGCACCGATCTGCTGGCGATAGCATCGTCGTAAGGTTTTGCTGTGCATGTTGCTTCGATAGAGCTGCTGTAATTTGATGGCCACCTGCACATATTCACGTCGACGTTTGAGATACCTTCTAACGAAGGCGCCCTCTGTGTTCGTTGTGAGCTTCTGGAAAGCGATCGAGTCTGCTCGCCCTTGCGCCATTTTGGCTTGCTCCTCAGCGATCATGCGCTTCACTTCATCGGGTAATCCATGGTAAAAGTGCGGCATCGATTCCGTCCTCTGCATGGAGTAGAGATCCTCTTGGTTCAGCGATACTAACTCAGCGAGGCCCCGAGATGCTGGAAGTACTCCGGGATTCACATTAAAAGCTCGGTCATTGGCAAGATGACTCAAGCCGAAACGCTCAGTAAACGGCCGCTCGATCTCCTGTCTGCTTCGCCCAGCTCTCCACTGAGTCGATGATTTCGCACAAATTGTGAAGTGGCACTCCAGCGATCTCCAGACTGGGAGAGCAACGACGTTATTTCCAATAGTCGAGAATCCACGCAAGCGGGACTTGATTGTCGGCCACAGCAAGCCCGATTGCTGATGAGCAAGCTTCGTCTCTATGTCTTCTTGTGCATTGGCAGACTTCGGAGCTGCGTCCAGGAGCAGTCTGTAGATCATTTCAAGGCGCTCGTTCTGTGCCTTCCTTTGGAATCTATCCGACACGATCACTATTTGGAAATACTTGACCAGCTGCAGAGGTAGCTCGTTTTTTCGCACACTTAAACCTGTGAATGGATTCGTAATATCTCGTGACTTTACAGCAGCTTCCAGCGTTGTCATCGCCGCTTTCTCCGTATCGAAAAAGCCAGCAGACTTGACTGCAACATCTTCGCTGGAGAGTCTCGGCATCATGTGCCAGGTGCACTTCAAGAGTGCCTCAACCGTCGACTTCCTACAGCATATCTGATACATCTTTACCTCCCAGCGGATCTTGCCTTGCTTCTCCTGCTTGACCGACCTGTACCAGTAGCGTTTCGTACCCAATAGCCTGTGCTGCAGTCTTGCACAGCTCACATCTGTAACTTCAAGATGAACAGTTGCAAGAGGCTCCTGCAACGCGAGCTGCACCGACGAGCAGATAGCGTAGCTCTTCTCCGTCGCAGGACCTGGAGGCTGAGTCGACAATCGACGTCGGGCCTTCTGAGACGACCCGACGCTCGGAAGCTGACGACGTAGCTCAAGGAGATACGGAGACGCTTCCGAGTCAGCGCCAGGTCGGCCACTAGCCCTGCGGGTTAGAGCCATGTATCTCTCTGATAACAAAAACTGCAGCTTGAAGCGACCCTACTGATACAAAACCAGTTTTTAGCCATTAATTTTTGTGACGGTAATACCGATCCGGGTACCAATGTGGGCTCCGCCTGCACTCCAAGCCGAGGACGCCATTCTTACCAAGGGTATTTCATGCTCACAGATTAGCGAGGGAGGTACGCTGCTTGTCAGCGGTAACATCGCGTTTGAGCCACGGCGATACCGTGAAGAGCTTGTCATTGATAAACTCGATTTCTCTCAACAATCGAATTGCAACCGGTGGGGCCAGACTTCTCTCCTCTGAAGTAACCAAAGATGTGGAGAGTAGTGGCGAGGAGGGTATTTTGGAGGACAAACAGTTGGTGGAGGCCAAGAAGAGATATCGCTTCACTCGTCACGACTTCCAGCCGCTACAGACCAAACCTCTGCACTTTGATATGACATTTGACATGACTGAAGAAAAGATCAAAGCTACGCTACAGACGACGCTAAAGCATCTAGGAGGGCAACCGCTATCGGAGCTCAAGCTGAACTCGAAAGGGCTGGAGATCTTGTCAGTGGAGCAGTTCGACACGTTCACGCCGCTGGGTGGAAAGAAGGACTTTGTGGGCCATGTGCAGAGCTTTGCGGAGCCTCGCGCGCTGCAGTTCGAGGTGGATAAGGATGACCACTTTTTGATTATTAAGCTCGTTAAGCCCGTGCAGTCCGGGGAGGAGTTCGTTATCCGCACAGTGTCGGTAGCCACTCCAACGGAGAACATCCTGGAGGGTTTGTACTTTGATTACACGCCTGCGGGTGCCCCCAAGACCATCATCACCCAGTGCCAGCAGCACGGATTTCAGCGCATCGTGCCGTGTATCGACACGATGGATGCTAAGGCATACTACACCACCACCATCGTGGCAGACAAGCGCTACACTAACATCATCACGAACGGAGACTTGGCTCCTGGATACCACACAGAGACTGGTGTACCTGTGTTCCACCCCACATCGGAAGTTTTGGGCGTGGATGACTCCTCGCGTCATGTGCTTAAGTACTACAACCACAAGGTGAACATGGCGCCGTATCTCTTCTTCCTTGGTGTCGGCACGTACGAGACGTTCCGACGCACGCTCGAGTTCCCCGATGGTGACTCGACACTACTGGAGATCTTGGCGTTCCCGGGCTACTTTGAACCGGCTGATGCCAAGGCTGCTGTCAAGATGCTACACGACTCTGTGTTGTGGGTCATGGTGAGTCTGGGCCCGGAAGCCTGCGAGCATCACGACGAGCGCAAGCGTATCTATGAGTTGCTGGACGAACGCGAGGCGCTTAAGGCCAAGGAAGGTCCGTTATGTCTTGGACCGAACGAGGAACACACTAAAACCCCTCTGAACGCCTCGGATGCTGCACGCTTGGTTGCTGTTCGCGCGGAACTGAAGGATCTGCTGAAGGTGTGGAAGAAGACTGGCTACAAGTACACTGGTGCCGTGTACCGCGAGATTGCGATGGAGAACTCGTACTATGGCGGTATGGAAAACGTCGGTAACACCACTATCGTCAGCTCTTGCCTGTGTCCGAGCTGCCGTATGGACGACAAGTCGTACGAGTACATGGAACACGTGAAGGTCCACGAGTACTACCACAACATCAACGGCAGCCAGGTGACTGGCCAGTCTCCATTTGAGATCTGGCTGAACGAAGCTGTCACGGTGCACATGGAGCGCAAGCGTGCTGCGGCCATTTTCGGCGAGGACTATAGTCGTCTGAGCGAGGTGCTGTACATGTTCACCCCGGCTATTGGACCGCTTGCGCAGGACAAGTCTGCGACGTCTCTGTCGGTCGAACCGCAGGGTTTCAACCAGACGCAGGAGCTTGTTTCTGTCGTAACCTACTCCAAGGCTCCTGAGTTCGTCCGTATGGTGCAGTTGCTACTAGGCGACGCCACCTTCCACAAGGCTCTTGACATGTACCACACCAAGTATGCATTCGGCAACGCCACGAGTATGGAGTGGATCAAGTGCATGGAAGAATGTTCCGGTCTGAACCTGCAGAACTTGGCCAAGACGTGGCTAAACCGCCCTGGTCACCCAGAGGTAACCTACTCTACAGAATTCAACGCTGCTTCGAACGAGTACATCGTGGAGATTTCGCAGACGGGCTTCGAGGACAAGCCTGTCGAGAACAACGGACCGTGGGAGATTCCGATTGACTGGTCTCTTGTTAAGGACGGCAAGTCGCTGAAGAGCGGTGTGCTCCTCATGAAGTCGAAGGATGCCAAGCTTGTTATCCCTGATGTCGTGGAGGAGCCAGACTTTCTGTCTTTTGCTCGCGGTTGGTCATTCTTCGGCAAGTCCAAGCAGACGAACCCGTCGGTCGCTCGGCTCACGAAGCAAGCGCTGTCTGATCCAGATGCTGTTAACAAGTACCAGGCCTACCGCAGCGTGGCAGATTTTGAGAAAGCCAAGGTGATCGAAGGACTGCTCAAGGGCGACAAGAACGTGGAGATCTCGTCTGAATTCGTGGAACTACATGGCTCGATTTTGTTCTCGAATGAGCTCGCCCCTTCCGCGCGTGCGCTGACGTTGGGAGAAGCCAAGACAATCCCAAACCATGATGAGTTGAGTCATCACTATTGTGCTATTAAAAATGCGACCACTGCGCTGCTACAAGCTGTGTGGGCTAAGTATTCGAAGCAGATCGAGGCTGCATACTCGAAATTGTGTCAGGAAGCCCGTTCTGGCCCCATCCCGAGCAGTTCCAGCAACGTGCTTTGAAGCGCCACTTGTTGCAACTCATTGAGGTGGGAGCTAGGCCTCGCGTGCTTAGCACAACCCAGTCAATAGCCCCAACTACTGCGCCATCTACTTTAGCGCTGGATTTGTTAAGAAACTCGACGTTCGCCAGTGAGAAGGCCACTGGGTTTCGCATGGTGTTAGAAGATGAAGCTTTTGCGGATCGCGCAAACGTGCAAAAAGAGATTTTTAAGGAATGGAGCAAGACTCCCGACATGCTGACGAAGTACATTGGCATCGTAAGCAGTTTGGACTCGAGGGATGTGGGGAAGCAGATTCGGATCCTGCTCGATGATCCAAGTTTCAACCCTGCTCAGTCCGGTCATGGTCGTGCTGTGACTCGGTCTCTATCGCAGATCCGCGATTTCTCGCTGGCCACAGACGAGGGTCTCGACGTGATGGCGCAGGCGTTTGTGAAGATCGGCAAGGTCAATCAAATGTCTGCGTACCCATTGCTACAATGCTTCGACCACTTAGACCGGGTTGACGACGCCACAAAGACAAAGATGTTTGCGACGCTGCAGCGCATGCAAGACTCGATCGACAAGAAAGAGGAGGAATCGCTCTACAACCAACTCAGTCTTATCCTGGAGAAGCAGTAACCACGTCAAACGCTGGTGACATTGCATTAGGCGACTCCATATAGAAACGATTAAATGCAGAAATACTAGCTACGTCAAGCCGAGATGGTCGTTGGTTGCTGCGCAGCAGCCTTCATGTCAGCAGGATCGCCGTCTTTCGACCCTGTGGATAAACTTGGGGGAGCCGCCATTTCTGCTGTCTGTTTACCAGCACCCGCGTCACAAGATGAAACCTCGTCTTCCTCTGAAACTCCATCTTCAGAGACGATAGGAGACAGTGCAACAACCGGAGAGTCTGCTGCTTCTACCGGTTCAGATCGCTCAGTTTTCTCCACTGGAGCTTCGACCTTCGCGCCACTACCAGCCCCATCGCCCGAATCCTCGTCCCCATCACCTTCTTCGGTGAAGTCCAGCGGTGGTTGTTCTGACGTTGGGATGCAGGGTGGCGGAGAAAAGCCCTGCTTTCTTTTCTCTGTTGGGCTCACAATCTTTGACAGCTTCGACGTATCAAACACCGGCGACCCAACTGTTCCATCTTCAGACACTTCACTAGTCAGTGAAGGGCGCTCGGAAGGTGCAGTAATAGGGTCGATGGCAGGTCTCCCAGTAGCGTGGACCGTAGGCGGAGCAGAGCTTGAATCTCCTGCTTTTGGATGCGGAGCGTTCTCTTGCGCTGAGCGATGAGGCAACCTAACCCGAAGAATCGATCGAAGTGGCCCTGTGTGACGTTTAACTGGTGGGCGTTCTGGAGCCTTCGTCGATCCTGCTGGACGAAAGACGAGTAGCTTGGAGACTTCCACCTCCTTCTCAAACGAACACACCGATTCTTCTGCGGCAAACTTGATCTTCGATGGCTGCCAGTCGTCTTGCACGACTTCCTTCGTCTTCATAATCTCAACTTCCTGGGCAATCGTGGTCACTCGCTTGGTCACCTGATCCAGCACCACCGTCGAACGCCTCGCTCGCCAATTGTGCGACGTACCTAGCCTTCGCTTGTTCTGAGGAGTCATCAGATTCCCGAAAATGTCCCGCTCGCGGCGAGTCGTAATAGTGTCTCTGCCATTGCGCGAGTCTATTTTGCAGTAAACAACTCGAGTTAGTACTGAACATATTCGTACCGTACCAAGAAGACGGTCGTACTCATCAAGTTGTGCAAGTGATTCGCCGAGTTAGATCGCTTGGCGGCAGGACCGCTACCATTCGAGGTAGACGAGGTCTTTGACTTGCTCGATCGCGGGGAGCCAGCCGGTTTGGGAGCTGGTAGCCGATCGGCGCGTTTTTCGTCATCCCGAGGGCTGGGAATGCCTCGTCTTGGCGAGCTTGATCCTCGTCGACGGTTCCCGGCGTCGCTTGCATTCATCCCATCGACACTTTTACTTGGTGCGTGAGCCCCCTTCTGACCCCCGACGTCCGTTTTTATCTTCTTAATAACCCATGCAGCAAGACTAGGTATGCTCGCGTCCCTATAAGTGCCACGCTTTTCAATACCCCTGATCTTCTTGCCAATCCTGCTGTTGATGATGGCATCTGTCGTAATGCCAGGCAGCACCGCAAGAACCTGTTGCAAAAATTAACTTAAGTCAGCCACGAGACCGCTTCGTACTCAGCTGTACCAGCCCCAATCCTTACCTTCAGAACAAGCAGCACACCTTGCTCCGTTTCCACCTCGTCTTCCCACTTGGAAAGGAGTTGGGCTAAAGACGTCAGACCATCCTTTCGCACAAACACTTTCAGTGCCTTTTTATCCTGCACACAACGGGAAGCAACTGTGGTTAAGTACCGCAGATCAAAATTGGCAGAGCAGATTCTTGTGGTAAATATCCGGCAACGTACCTTGAGGTCGGCCGAGGATAGAACCTCAAGCTGCGCTTCCATCACGGCATTATTCACTGTACTCACAATGACATATAACACTTTGCGGACGATGTTGAACTCGTTATCGACCGTCAGCATATCACTCTCTCGAGCGACTGAGCTCACAGGCGATGACGGCGAGCCACTCCGCTTTGTCGATGGCAGGCCTTTGGTGTTTAGATCAAGAGTTTTTAGCCGCTTTGGCGACGCTGATGGAGCACTCGAGGCGCTGACTTTCTCTCCATTTCGCGGGGTTTCTTCCGCTCGTCGCTTTCTCTTTTGACCAATACCTACCGGCCGCAAGTCTACCGGAATACTGTTAAATACTTCGTGGTAGGAAAGGTCACAACACTCGCCGTCGAAGTACATCACGCGAAACATTTTTGTGGCCGGGAAGTAGCTCGCCACGGCGCCTTGCACAACGTCGACCCCGCACCCTTCTTTCGTAACGGTTCTTTCCACAGGCTTACCAATGAGCTGGTTAATTTCAAATGGGGTACCCTCTTCGTCCTCTTCTTCGTCAGCCATCATTTCCTCTTCTTCTTCTTCTTCTTCTTCTTCTTCTTCCTCTTCTTCCTCCTCTTCCTCTTCTTCTCCTCCCACCTCCTCATTTTCGTCGTCTTCTTCTTCTTCTAGAGTATTTACAGGGATGGCCAAGCTTAACGATTCTTGTACCTCGTCATGGGAGCTGGAGGGCCCTGTAAAGCTGTTGCTGCGCATCAGTCCTGGTGCATTCGCGTTAAGGCTCAGCACTTTCGGTTTTTGCCTACTTTTCCCTGTAGAAGCAGTCGGCATCGGGACGTTAATGCTGCTGTCACTATTGGCTCTCTTCATAGGCGGAGTAGTTGGCTTTGCAGGCTTCAGCTTGAGGGTCTTGCGTGGCTTGGATACTTTGGGTGATCGTTTTGAGCCCGGTGATTCGACGAAGTGAGTCGCGACGTCATCCTCCGTCATCTCTTCACTGTCTCCATCTTCGTAAGAAATATGGTAAAAGTCGGTCACGTCCGAGTGCTTGTCCACTATGCCCTGAAAGGGCTCCGCAAACCCGTTAAAGTACTTTGACACTCGTGTCCCCAACGGGAATCGCTGGGTGTGGTTGATCCTCACCTGCTCAAAACAATAACAGCAACAACAAAGCACATTAACACGTACTAGTTTAATACAGCATCACAGATCAGACTAACACCATACACAGTCACCATCACTCCGTACGAGAAGTGAAGGCGACAGGCAGCCAGCAGAGCCGACAGATAGTTGGCTGCCTCTGAAAGTGTCTTTCTTTTATAACAATTCTGCAAACTACCGACCATTTTTCTCTTAGTTTAAGTGACGGGAGGATTCCACTTATCGACACGTGATGTAGGCGTTTGTTTGGGGGCTTTGGACTACAGAGACGTAAGCGCACGTATTGTCGACCTATGGGCGCTCGGTAACAAGCAGTGAAGGGGCTGTGCCGTGCGAGCGTCGCAATCTCGGGACCAAGAACAGCGGCCTCTTGTGATAGGCCTGTTGTGATTTTGAAATTTGAGATTTTCAGCAATACCGGTACAGTACTGAACTGTACCTGTTTTTTAAATTGTCTTAAACATTTTGACAATAACTTGCAAAATATTAACTCATTACGGAACAGCTTTCTTTTTTTTAAGAGGTATTTATTAAAATAGTTTTTATTTCTATGAGCGATGTTAGGGTACCGAGTAGGTCGTACTTAAGTGGAAGTTAGGGTTACATGACGCAAGCCAATTCTAGAAAGGCACTCGTTATTTAGCCAGACTGGGTAACAACAGACAGTACAATTACACCAGAATACAACCGATTAGCATGCCCGAATATGCCAGACTCAGGAAGAGCCGGACGTGTCATCAGTTGACGTGTGCTCGGAGTATACGTATAACCGGATGTCAGTGTGTTGGCTTTGAAACTGAAACCCGCAAGACATTCAGCATCTAACTCTTAAGACAAAGTGCAGGGGGAATAACCTGGAGGTAGTCAACGCATCAAACACACTAACAAAAGACCAAATTATTGAAAAACTATTTGCATTAAATGCACATGCACAGGTACCGATAGCGCAAATACTGTAGCTCCTTCCGACTTAGCAGATATAGGTTTTCAGCACCGGCAAATATCTCAAAAGCTAGCAGCATATACATGCCACAATTGTAGCTATCAACCTCCACTCCAAGCTCGCTCGTGTATGGTCGAATTCGGTATTTTCTTGTAGCGAAATCTGCCAGCAGTGCTACCATCTTCTCAGCGAGAGGTCGAACTTTTACGCCGTAGCTTGAGCTCATTGGATCATAGATAAAAACTTCTTTAAGCGACAGATCCATCATAACCGCACACCAGTGATTCTTGTTGCAGATGACAGGAATCAAAATCTTTTGGTTTGTCATGCCAGCAAACACGTTAGTGGCTGAGCTTACACGGTGATGCACGATTCATCCCAACTGAGCCCGATTATGCCAGATTGGGTTTATTTCGCTACAAACCAAAACTATAGTAATCGCATACCTGTGCTGAGCATCCTTGGGCCCGTGTCACCTGACGCGGCCGCTTGCTTGTGGCTTGCGATCGGTATGTGCCGTGGTGTGTACACACGTACGTCTTCGCGTACTGATCCCACTCGGCCGGGATTTTAGTCGCCGCGGAGCCCTGAGCATCTATCCTAGCATTCCGCACAGCCACTGAAGTGTTTGTTCTCACTCGAAATATCTAGCAGACAAACAAAACGTGATGAGACGGTATAGACAAACACAACAGATAACTTAATAATGTACCTGGAGTGACTGCGCTTGGTACAGCGCTAGATAGGCCTCGAAGTCCTTCCACGACTGAAATTGTGTCTCTTGTGGTGACGAGGCGAGGACACAAATCTGACCCGATTCTTCACTTGCGCTACTGGTTACCGCCTCCGCCTCAGCAGAAGTCGGGCTCGACACTGGCTGCCAGTCACTCACGGAGCCGTCGGAGTCGTTGCTGGCGCTGTCGCTGTCGATACCCTCCAGTGCCAGGGGGCGCTTCTGTGCGCTGCGTGGCCGTGGTGCCATTTTCGTGCGTTTGGAGCCACGCGTTTGCTGGAGGGGGAGATTTTTTTGTGGTTCAGGAAACGGTGGCATACTGGTATACAGTATCTATACGCTATACCTAGTACGGATGAGTGCATACACAGATAATCGGAAGATAGGAAAGATTTGCTATGAGTAGAGTGTTCCCAGTCTGGCAAAAAAGTCATTCTCTTCTAGAAAAGGACAACCAACGTGATGAGCAAGCTTGGTGCAAGATCCGAACGTGTCGACGAACGATGCGGATATAACCAGGTCAATCAAGAAAAGATTTTTATTATCCTCTACAAGCAGATATCGCTTTCGAAAGTATCTTTGAGGAGCGAAGTTAGACTCGGGAATCCGCCAACGAGAACAACCCAGCAGCATCTTACACAGTGCATTTTGGAGAGATGAGTACACCCGCTGCTAAAAAGTATCGGTTCACGCGTCACGACTTCCAGCCGCTGGCCACCAAGCCGCTGCACTTCGACATGCTGTTTGATGTCACGGAGACTAAGGTCAAAGTGACGCTACAAACAACGCTCAAACACAACGGCGAGCAGGCGCTATCGGAGCTTAAGCTGAACTCCAAGGAGCTGGAGATCTTATCAGTGGAACGTTTCGACAAGTTCGCGCCGTTGGGCGCGGAGAAGGACTTCGTGTCTCATGCCCAGAGCTTTGCGGAGCCTCGCGCGCTGCAGTTCGAGGTGGATAAGGACGACCACTTTTTGGTTGTTAAGTTCGATAAGCCCGTGCAGTCCGGGGAGGAGTTCGTTATCCGCACAGTGTCGGTAGCCACTCCAACGGAGAACATCCTGGAGGGTTTGTACTTTGATTACACGCCTGCGGGCGCCCCCAAGACCATCATCACCCAGTGCCAGCAGCACGGATTTCAGCGCATCGTGCCGTGTATCGACACGATGGATGCTAAGGCATACTACACCACCACCATCGTGGCAGACAAGCGCTACACTAACATCATCACGAACGGAGACTTGGCTCCTGGATACCACACAGAGACTGGTGTACCTGTGTTCCACCCCACATCGGAAGTTTTGGGCGTGGATGACTCCTCGCGTCATGTGCTTAAGTACTACAACCACAAGGTGAACATGGCGCCGTATCTCTTCTTCCTTGGTGTCGGCACGTACGAGACGTTCCGACGCACGCTCGAGTTCCCCGATGGTGACTCGACACTACTGGAGATCTTGGCGTTCCCGGGCTACTTTGAACCGGCTGATGCCAAGGCTGCTGTCAAGATGCTACACGACTCTGTGTTGTGGGTCATGGTGAGTCTGGGCCCGGAAGCCTGCGAGCATCACGACGAGCGCAAGCGTATCTATGAGTTGCTGGACGAACGCGAGGCGCTTAAGGCCAAGGAAGGTCCGTTATGTCTTGGACCGAACGAGGAACACACTAAAACCCCTCTGAACGCCTCGGATGCTGCACGCTTGGTTGCTGTTCGCGCGGAACTGAAGGATCTGCTGGAGGTGTGGAAGAAGACTGGCTACAAGTACACTGGTGCCGTGTACCGCGAGATTGCGATGGAGAACTCGTACTATGGCGGTATGGAAAACGTCGGTAACACCACTATCGTCAGCTCTTGCCTGTGTCCGAGCTGCCGTATGGACGACAAGTCGTACGAGTACATGGAACACGTGAAGGTCCACGAGTACTACCACAACATCAACGGCAGCCAGGTGACTGGCCAGTCTCCATTTGAGATCTGGCTGAACGAAGCTGTCACGGTGCACATGGAGCGCAAGCGTGCTGCGGCCATTTTCGGCGAGGACTATAGTCGTCTGAGCGAGGTGCTGTACATGTTCACCCCGGCTATTGGACCGCTTGCGCAGGACAAGTCTGCGACGTCTCTGTCGGTCGAACCGCAGGGTTTCAACCAGACGCAGGAGCTTGTTTCTGTCGTAACCTACTCCAAGGCTCCTGAGTTCGTCCGTATGGTGCAGCTGCTACTAGGCGACGCCACCTTCCACAAGGCTCTTGACATGTACCACACCAAGTATGCATTCGGCAACGCCACGAGTATGGAGTGGATCAAGTGCATGGAAGAATGTTCCGGTCTGAACCTGCAGAACTTGGCCAAGACGTGGCTAAACCGCCCTGGTCACCCAGAGGTAACCTACTCTACAGAATTCAACGCTGCTTCGAACGAGTACATCGTGGAGATTTCGCAGACGGGCTTCGAGGACAAGCCTGTCGAGAACAACGGACCGTGGGAGATTCCGATTGACTGGTCTCTTGTTAAGGACGGCAAGTCGCTGAAGAGCGGTGTGTTCCTCATGAAGTCGAAGGATGCCAAGCTTGTTATCCCTGATGTCGTGGAGGAGCCAGACTTTCTGTCTTTTGCTCGCGGTTGGTCATTCTTCGGCAAGTCCAAGCAGACGAACCCGTCGGTCGCTCGGCTCACGAAGCAAGCGCTGTCTGATCCAGATGCTGTTAACAAGTCTCAGGCCTACCGCAGCGTGGCAGATGTTGAGAAAGCCAAGGTGATCGAAGGACTGCTCAAGGGCGACAAGAACGTGGAGATCTCGTCTGAATTCGTGGAACTACATGGCTCGATTTTGTTCTCGAATGAGCTCGCCCCTTCCGCGCGTGCGCTGACGTTGGTAGAGGCCAAGACAATCCCGAGCCGCGATGACCTGAGCCACCACTACGCCGCAATTAAGGAGGCAACTACGGCATTGTTGCAGGCAGTGTGGGCCAAGTACTCGACCAAGATCGAGGCTGCATACAACAAGCTGTGCGAGACTGCACACCCTGGCCCGCACGTAGAACAGTTCCAAGAGCGTGCTCTCAAGCGTCACCTGCTGCTGCTGATTGTGGCAGGCGGCAAGAATCCAGTGCTCAACACGACCCCGAAGGTCACGCCAACCGTGGAGTCGTACAAACTGGCGCTAGACCTGCTGAAGAAGTCGACTTTTGTGACCGACCAGGCTACTGGTTTGCGTCTTGTCTTGGAAGACGAAAGCTTTGCGGACCGCTCGAAGGTGCAGGAGGAGATTTTCGAGGAGTGGCGCAAGACGCCGGACATGCTGACGAAGTACATCAGTATCGTAAGCAGCTTGGATTCCAAGGACGTTGGGGGCCAGATTCTGAAGCTGCTGGCGAATCCGAGCTTCAATCCTGCTCAGTCCAGTCATGGCCGTACACTGTCGCGGTGCCTGTCACAGATTCGCGATTTCTCTCTGGCCACGGACGAGGGTCTCGACGTGATGGAGCAAGCGTTTGTGAAGATCGGTAAAGTCAACCAAATGTCTGCGTACCCGTTGCTACAGTGCTTCGATCACCTGGACCGCTTTGACGACGCCACAAAGGCGAAGATGTTTGCAACGCTGCAGCGTATGCAGGACTCGATCGATAAGAAGAAGGAGGAGTCGCTCTACAACCAGCTCAGTATTATCCTGGAGAAGAAGATGTAAGTAAGGAAGAACCTCTGTCTAGTCGTTGAGAGGCAGTCCAGATTGGAGCGCCGTCCTTTGTGTGATGACAAATATCACTTGGAACCACATTTTAGCAGTATCTTGTTGCCTACGCAACCCTTCACGATCAACGTCTCTTCACACTACTTACTGCAATTCCATGGAGAAGTATGATGTCAAGTTGCTGCTTGCATTGGTGTTGCGTTACTTTCTGCACTATCTTAAGTTTGTACTGCAGCATGTCGTGCATCTCGTGAAGATATCGATAGTAGTCATTCGACACTATTCGGCTGTTGTGGGCAGGTCTTCGATCGTGTCAAAGCTCATGGCCTGGACGGATCGAGTTGCCAAGCATCCATGGTTTCGAAAAATTTGCAATGCTGTGAATGTCTGCGCCGCTTTCATTGTCGGATCGACCTACATTGACGAACATGCAGCGTTTACAGCTCGTGGGCTCGTGAAAAATGACGCCTATCGCGACCGCCTGCTTGCTGGGGAGATCGAAGACCTGGTCATGTTGAGTGACGCTTTGCGTCTCACGTTACCGCAGCGCAAGGCATACTTCCAGTGTTTTCTTCATGTCGACTTTATGCGTCGGTCGAGCGTCTCTCGTGCGGAGTTGCTGCGCTATTGCAATCTACGATCTACTCCACTCACAACTTTCTTACTACCAAACGCGAAGGAAGCTGCGCATCGAGCAACTGGACGAAATCGTTGGGATATCACGCAGCTACTGGCAGCGTGTTTTTCCTTGTGTACAGCCGACATTGCTGAGGTTTGTAGCTATCGGTATTGAAGAAGCTCGTGAGTTTTTAAGTTCACATGTGTTTTCGGTGCCATGTAAGCTTGTTCGTCGTGCAGTGACAGAAGCTATTCGTCCGCAGGATGAAAGTGACGAGGAGGAGCTTATGCAAGAAGAGATTGGAAAGGAGGAACACATTGGTGTGGGGGTGGAAGATCAAGTGGATGATGGTACCTCTCAGCACTTCAAATATTTGCCGGCACATTGATCAGTGCTTCACATTTTTCATCGGTGTTCCTGATCCCGTGGAGCGCAATCTGCTGGCATTGCTAAAGACATTCTACGATAATGAGTGTGCTGAACAGCAACTTAACTTGACATCTCCACGCATCCGCTTCCAAGATATACACAAGGTGGCTACCATATTTGACGTTGTGCGGCTATTCCCAGGTAAGTCAGCGTGTTCCCGTTCACCTTCCTATACTAGCTTTCACTTACTAAATCGACCATCAAAGTACTCATCTTTCCATGCATTTGGACGCAGCGTGTGCTCCGAACGCGCATTCTTGGTGCCAAAACATGGGAATGCCTGCAACGACGCCGTGTGAAGCTCCAGCCACACTTATTTGCAGAGGACATTACTCTGTCTGTTGCTGACCTAATAGCAGCATCACAAGTGCAACTTCAGCAAAAACTAAGCCGCGAATATCAAATTCTGACACCAACAAGTGAACAACAGGCTACAGACAGCGCTCCATTCACCCCACGCAAAGTTGTCCCAAGCACGTACGTTCAAGCTCTGCTCATAAATTTGAATTTCTGCATTCACGAGCGATCTTACATTCTGCGTTTGATTTTGAAGTGGTAGTGAGATGGGAAAACCCACCACAGACGAATCGTACGAGCTGGAAGAGCCTCCAGGTTTCATATTAATATCTGATCCTTGCTCTTCCTTGAACGAAGCTTGGCGCATCTCCGCAAACCACGCACTGGCATCCGTTTACATCCAAGATGTGCTTGAAGATTCGACAACGACACTCGAGGCGCTTCGAGCAGAATTTGAGCAAGTCACCAAACAGATCTGCACAGGAGAGCTCAGTACCGATAAACTGGAGCAGATTCGTCAGCGACTTGTGAAGTTCCATGGCTATCGCTTTGCACACTCGCTGCTAACAAAAAGCAATTTGAAAGAACTATCGCATGCGTCCAAGACGCAACCTGATGAACGTCGTGCACAGCAGCGCTACACCAAGGCATGGAGTGGCAGTGGTCTAGTGGAGGACAAAATGATCTACTGGAAAGAGGTGAGCTAACGTTAGTTCGTTTTCTTGGGCTGCAGTTAGAAAACTGTGAACGTGTTAACTATTGTTATCTGCCGCAGTTTGAAGATCTGCGTGCTAGGCGGGCATTCTATTACAACATTCGGACGGGTGAATCACGGTGGGAGAAGCCCGCCAATTACGTGTCCAAGAAAAAAGTGAGAGGATGTAAGAAAGAGAAAAACATTGAAGCTCTAAAATAATAAAAAAACAGAACGAGGTGCCTTTCAACTTTGTGGAATTGTGAAGCCATACAAATGCCGATCAAACCGTACTCGATACTCGTTCTATTGATTTCAATTACCGAGAAATCATCATCTCGTATCCTGCCAACAGGATGGCACTAGACTCTTGCAGCAAGTCGTAAATCGGACTCAACTCGGCATTCGCCGATGCGCTCACGCGCTGGGAATACGCATCAAGGCACTTGGTAATTTCTTTCCAGGCCTGCTTTTCAGCTTGCAGGCCAAGTCGACGAAATTTCCAACACGGATAGCCAAGGGGGAGCTCCTTCCAAGATGGCGATGAAGCAGATGACTTGCCACTGGAAGATGGTGGAGTCGTAGATGGCGACGAAGGCTGGCCGATCACTGCACGCGTATCTAGCCACTCAATATACTTGGAAGCCGTCCAGTGTTTCATTTGATGTGGGAGTTGGAGCTCAGGCGGAGCGCGAGAAGTGAGGTGGTGCCAGACGTTACTCGGACGGATTCTGTCGATTGTGGGATCCCGAAGAATCTCACTGTTGCCAAGAAAGATCATGTGGCGGAACGCGCGCAGCTCCTCGTAGACCGCCCCGACATTTCTCAATGGCACGATGTGCTCCAGTCTTAGCTCTAACTGTGCCATGTCGTCCGCGAGGCGCAGCTTACCGTTTTCAGTTAACGGTCGTAGCAACGATGCATGTCGAATGAACACGGAGATAAGCCGCTCTACAAAATCTTCCAGGCATTTGGTAGCGAAAACAGCAACGGGGAGGCGGCGCAGGTGCTCATCTAGAATAATTGCAAAAGTGTTGCAGAACTCTTGCATATACTTCGAGCCACTTAAGCCTTGCGATGGCCGAACTCCACCGCTACTTCGCGGCGCATCGCCTGACGTGGCCACTCTGGCCGCCGCACTTTGATCACCGAAGGATTCCTCGTGCATTTTCGCAAAAATATTCTCGAGTAGTGCAGCGAGGGCTTGTAGGTAGAAGCCCAGCAAGGCGAATTTCAGGTCACCGATCATCTCACGACACGGAATCAGGATTTTTGTGCACAAAGCTTTAGCTTCTTTTGATGAAACCACACCTGTTGCGACGGTATCCGCGGCAGATGGCACATTGGTTGCTGCTCCCGTTTGAGTGCCATTGTGAGCTGCTGCTGTTTCAGTACGGTTTACAATCTCTTCAACTGCATCATCCAGCAAACTCAGCACATTCATGAGCCCAACGTTATGAGCCTGTGCAGGAGTCCGTGCGAAAGACGGCATCGTCGAGGCTGCAGCCTTGCCTTGGTACATAATTCGCTTCACGTTTGAACAGAAGAGGCTAACTGCCTTCCGCACTTGTTGAAGTGTACCATCTAACAGCACGGGGTCTTGACCAGCGTGCTCCAACTCGGAGAATATTGTGCGTGACAGAGTTTGCATATCGCTCCGACCAGGTGGCGACGCGTGGAAGTTTGAGCTCTGAGGGAACATGAGCTGAATTGGGTTCGACATGCGACGGTACGCTCGCTCGATAAAGGCATCGTAAAGTGGTGCCATGGAGTCCAGTAGCTGGGTGCGCTCGGCCGGGCACCCCGCAATTGGCGTCAACTCTCGCTTCACCGAGTCGTCCATCGTGTCGCCCTCACTATCAGCCGTGGAGTCGGCAAGAAATTCTGTACCTGCACTTTGCTTCGTCGAAGCGAACAATTCATGCAGAACTCGTGTCGCTTGCTCGCGCATACGCGGATACTCCGCGATCAGCACTGATTTGACTGCTGTACTGTAGCCAAGTGTGGACGCGAACAATTCCCGTACAAGAGCACAAGTGACTTCCCAGAATGTAGCAAAAAGAGATGGCTCATCCGGCTCCAGCACCAGATCTAAATACTTTTGGCCCGAAGTCGGGTCCACCATCTTCAACAGCACACGCTGAAGATTCCACACTTGCATAGCATGAACGCGGATGACATCGAAAACATCTTGGAGGGCTTTCCACACGTCGGACTTCTGAACAATGCTACCTGATGCTCCATTACTTGTGTCCAAGCCGTTGGAGCCGCAACTGCCGGAGCGTACAAGCTTCTCCTCCGCGATAGCAGCAGAGCACTTCCGCTCCACTTCCCGAATCACGTCATTCACTGAGGCTTGAGCTGTCGTGGCTAAATCTCCCAGATAAAGGAGGATCTGGAGAGCGTCACCCACGTCTGCCTGGCTCAAATTCTGGATACCTGAACGCAATGCGGCACGCACTTCGCGCTTCAAGTTCGCACTAAGCTTGCGCGTAGCTGGTAGCTTTGCGCGTACAGCACTCAGCTCTTCGAAGTTTTCATCTTGTACCAGCAATTCCATCTCTCGGATCGCGAGCGCCACTGACGCCATCTCGTTCTGTCTCGCATATCCCGTGAGTCCACACCCATTCTCCACTGAAACTTTATTCGATGTCGCATCAGCGCGGTTCAATTCAGACCCCAGCACACGGTCTGAGAGCTGCTGGAAGCGCAGAACACGCCTTACAATGTCCCCGCACTGCTCCACGTTGCGGTAGCGCTGGATGGTATCGCGTAGATTCTCGTGCTGCTCTCGCACCAACGCATGGAGCGAGTGTACTGACTGCTTGAGTTGACCCACCGAGCTCTGCACCGATGTTACGTGGTCCTGCAGCTCATCCACGGAGCCCACCTGATCCAACAGCGTGGCATGGTGCTCGCCAATATGCTCCGAGATGACACGGTCAATGCGCTTTACGGCGCCATCTAGACGCTCCACAAATTGCTCTGATTGGCTGGACTCATCAAGATCCTCAGTCAACGTGAAGCTGGTGGAGGAGCTGGAGCGGAGGCGAGAGTTACCACTGACGTCCCGCGAGGCTGAGTCGCGCGCAACAACGGAGCTGGCGATGGCACTAACGTTGCAATCTGGACTCAAGAACACGCCCAATTGCGCTACAGTTGTGCAAGTGGATACAGAAGTCGTTAGCTGTTAGCAAGAAGGTAAAATAATGGATCCGGCCGCCCACCGTCGCTCTGGAGCTCGCGCACAACCGCCTCCATGCTCTGTGTTTCGCGTCACTGAGAGATACAATTATGATTTAAGAGAGTTTTGTTTATGCTCAAATGACGGAGGAGAGACTCTATGAGAGTTGAAGTTTATCTTTCAGTTTGTATGGACCAGGAAATCAGTTGCAGCACAAGGCAACGAAAAGTGGCTCGAGGCGCGCATTCGAATTGCGGATTCCGCACTCGTTGCTAAGAAGAAGACCATCACTCTGCATTCCGCGTCGTGGTGTGCATTCAATTTCCATACCTAGCGCAAGGTAAAATGACAACGAAGGAGGCGGGCGCGGGCTCCAAGTGCTATGTGCCCGACGACACGTACGTCTGGCTACCGGCACAGATCCTTCGCGAGGACAAGAGCTCAGACCCCAAGAAGCCCGAGAAGACAGTTATGCTGCGCGTTTACCCTCCGCCCGGTGATACAACTGCTGTTGTGGATAAAGAACGCGTGTTGGACTTCAATGACCCCAAGGTCAAGGCCATGCTCAAGAGCTTGCAGCTCGAGTCGCTGCCGTACCAGAACGATAACTTGGGGCCCGAGGGTATCGAGGACATGACGGCGCTCAACTACCTGCACGAGGCCGCTATCCTGTACAATGTTAAGACGCGCTTTCTGCAGAAACTTCCCTACACGTACACAGGCGACATTTGCATCGCCGTGAACCCTTATCAGTGGCTACCAGAGCTCTACTCTGAGCAGACACAGTCTCAGTATCTCACTAAAGCTCGTGAAGAACTGCCGCCACATGTTTACGCGACGTCCATGGCGTCTTACAACGACATGAAGCGGTATGAAGTGAACCAGTCCATTTTGGTGAGTGGGGAATCGGGAGCTGGTAAGACGGAGACCACCAAGATTCTCATGAATCATCTGGCTTCAATTGCTGGCGGTCTTAACGACTATACTATCAAGAGAATTATTGAGGTGAATCCGCTGCTCGAGTCGTTCGGAAACGCCAAGACGGTGAGAAACGATAACAGCTCTCGTTTTGGCAAGTTTACTCAGCTGCAATTTGATAACGCCGGCATCCTGGTGGGAGCGAGATGCAGAACGTACTTGCTGGAAAAGACTCGTGTGATTTCGCACGAACAACTGGAACGGAACTACCACATTTTCTATCAGCTGCTTGCTGCGAGTGACAGTAGGGAGAAATGGTTCCTGGATGACGCCAACGAGTGCTATGCGTACACGGGTGCGAATAAGACCATTAAGATTGAGGGCATGTCGGATGATAAACATTTCGAGCGAACGAAAACGGCTCTTGGGCTTATCGGCGTCACGGAGGAACAGCAAGAGGTTCTCTTTGAGGTGCTTGCAGGCGTGCTGCATCTTGGTCAAGTGGAAATTCAGTCCAAGAACAATAATGAAGAGTCTGGACTTGTGCCGGACGATCAAGGAGCGAAGAATGCGACCAAGCTTCTCGGTATTTCTGCAGCAGCTCTGGACAAAGCGCTGTGTTCGCGCCAGATTGCAGTCGCTGGAGACAAAGTAACTACTTTTTTGAAGAAAGATCAAGCGGAGGAGTGTATCGGTGCCTTGTCGGAGGCAATTTACTCCAACGTGTTCGACTGGCTAGTGGAAATGATCAACACGTCCCTAGAGAATGATAGGAAAATGCGCTACCATGTGGGCATCCTCGATATTTTCGGCTTTGAGCACTTCAAACACAATTCCTTTGAACAATTTTGCATTAACTATGCAAACGAAAAACTTCAGCAGAAATTTACCCAGGATGTCTTCAAGACAGTGCAGATTGAATACGAAGCTGAAGGCATCCTCTGGAGTCACATCGACTTCGCAGACAACCAAGATGTGATATCTGTGATCGAGGACCGCCTAGGAATTATTTCGCTGCTGAACGACGAGGTGATGCGCCCCAAGGGCAACGATGAGTCTTTTGTCTCCAAGCTCTCAACCATTCACAAGGACGAGCAAGATGTCATAGAGTTTCCTCGCACATCACGCACACAATTTACAATCAAGCACTACGCCGGTGCAGTTACATACGAGTCACTGGGCTTCCTCGAAAAGCATAAAGACGCACTTCTTCCTGATCTATCCGATTTGATGCGGGGCTCGTCCAAGCAATTCCTCAGGACGATTTTTACCGAAAAGATCGGCAGCCCTGTTGCCTCACGGAAGAAAAGTACGAGCAATGCTCGACGTGGCGGCCGAGCTATGGGAGGATCTTTGACAGTGACGAATGTGGGGACCCAATTCAAGGACAATCTCAACGAGCTCATGACTAGCATTCGTCAAACGAAGGTGCACTACGTCCGCTGTATTAAGCCCAACAAAAACAAAAGTCCAAACGAAATGGATCAACCAATGGTGGTATCGCAACTACGTTGTGCTGGTGTGATCGAGGCAATTCGTATTTCTCGTGTTGCGTACCCGAACCGACTGCTGCTGGAGGAGTTGGTGGATAAATTCTGGGTGTTCGACGTGGAGCATCGCAATACCGATGTTCCTGTCAAACAGCGATGTGAGGCATTGATGAAAAAGATGGAATTGTCGTCGCCGGAGCAGTACCAGATTGGTCTCTCACGCATTTACTTCCGATACGGCATCCTAGAGCAAATGGAGGACAAAAAGGCAGAACGCCTGGATGTGCAGGCTCGCCACTTGCAGCACTATATGCGGGGATTCTGTTGCAGGCTTCGTTTCCTTCGCAAGTTGCAAGCAATTGTCAAACTGCAGGTATGTTTCACTCATCACCATTCAGCGTGCGCTTCGTTCATGGCTAATCGACTGTCTGCGCAACGCGTGTGAATAGTCTGTTGCTCGATGTGTTATCATGATGAACCGGTACCAGTCGTTTAAGACTGCTGTGATAACACTCCAGGCGCACTGGCGCGGATACAAAGGGCGTTGCATTGCCCTCGAGGCCAAGAAAAACAAGAGTGCGATTATTATTCAGAAATATGGTCGTCGCTTAGTCAAACGGTGAGTATTTTACTGTCGCGATATCATATCGCGTAAGTTCTGCTAATTCGCTATGTTGGTGTTGTCGATATACAGCAAGCAATTCAAGGATGAACGGAAGGGGGCTGTAAAGATTCAAGCATTCCTGCGTATGAAGTACGAGCGACCGAAGTATATGAAGGCTCTCCAGGAGAAGAAGCAGCAGGCTGTTATGGAATACCAACTCAGCAAGTTGCAGGAGCGCCTCCACGACGAGCAACGGCGAAACGCGGAGCTTAAGAAAGACCGGTTATCCAATTCATCCACGGACAGCCAGCTGTATGCAGAAACTAACGGGACACGATCTCGTGGGCGATCAACTGCCCACATGTGGATGGCTGACGCTGATGGTATTATCAGCCAGCTCAACGAAGAGGCAAATCGTTTACGCAAAGAGAATGAAGAGCAACGTGCACTGACGGCACAGCTGAAGAGTGAGGTTGAAAAGCTTAAGTTTGACCAAACGGTACTAACCGCTAACTTCCAAGTCAAAATCCGCGGATTTCAAGATGTGGTACGGCTCTGGCTGCATTTGAATTATCTCGCTCTTACCCACGTGCTAACTATCCATAACTGTATGTGTCGTATGCAGATTCGTGAAAAGGATAAGAAACTCGAGGCTGTAGAACGCGAGTGTGTTAAACTTCGTGAGCATGTAGGGTCCGACCCTATGCAGTCAAGTCAGAAATCTTTGCGGAAGGATCGTCGTTCCGTGTTCAGAAGGTTGGGATCGAAGAAGGAGTTTGATGATGGCTATGACAATGGCGATGCCAGTCGTGCGTCGACGGCAATGCAAGCGGCACTTGCTCAGAGATCCGCGGACACGGCGCAGTTTCTCCGCCAATCTGCGCGGCGTATGTCTCGCACAAAGATGTGGCGTAACAACAGCGGTGGTGACAGCGATGGCGAGGGTCGTTTCTCTGGTAGCGATATAGGCGACTCTGGTGGCCGCCCATCGCTGCTGCAGGAAGTGAGTGCGGCCGGCGCCGGAGCTATGGAGTCTTTGAAAAACAGGCTCACTGCTGTCAAAGAGAAGTACTATGGAGAGGAGGGGCCATCCGCAGCGTCGCGTCAAAACGCGGAGCCCCGTAGAGCATCTGCTGCAAGGGAGTCGTTTAACTTAGATGCTTTGCCTCTTCCTCCCGGTTGGGAGACTCGATTGTCGCGCTCAAAAGGCAAGGCATACTATTGCAATCCGGAACTGCGGATCACGCAATGGGATCATCCGTCTATCGAGTCGAGTAAGGTGAAAAAGCAGGCAGCCGTAGCTGCTCATCGCACGAAACGGTAAGACGATGATAATGGATGCTGTGGACTACATGCAGAGCAAGAGGATGTTAACTAAGGGTGGCTGTGCAACATTGTGTAGAGGAACATCTATTATGGGGAGCACTGTCGGGAGTCCGCTGCGGGATTCAATAGGTACGTTGAAGTGTTCGATGTCGGTGCCCATTGAGCTTGTCTCACTTTCATACTGTAGACGGCGTGCTCACGATGGAGGGTCATATCTAGATAGCTCCGACGGAAGCAAGTGCTAGGCTAGTACTTGAAGTAATGTAAAGTGACCACTACATGTACATCCCATTTGGGCGAGATCCGTCGTAAACGACATACACGTCAACCTGGAGATCGCCTTGCTGACTTCGTTCTACGTACTCGTTCTCGTAGCACGTTTGACATAGGTACGTGTCGTCGCGGGAATTCCAGACAGCAGCAAATACGGCGCTTGAAAAACCGCTACAGGGTCCGCAGAATCGACACTCATCAGGCTTTGCCCAGCTTTGCTTCATTCGACACGGATTGTAGAAGAATTGTTCATCTAGCAGGATTCAGGATACCGTCAAGCGTTAGTGCCAACAACACCTTGCTTACAGTACACTGCATCCTCGGCACTCACCAAGCACGCTGTCAACCATGATCACCCAGCAGTTATCGTACTCGAGTTCCTTCGAGCCTAAACCAGTAGGCTTCTGAATGTTGACCTTCCCTGTTAATCTGTTGCGATACCATGGTGCTTGGGTCAATATGTCGAACTCCTTTATGTACAGCTCGGACAGCATATCGCGGAGCAACTTGCGCGATGTAAACCCGCGGAACGCACACTGAATGATCAATGCGCTTTTTTGACGAGCTGCCCGCTCCTCGGTGTTTTCAGCAAGCTGCAAATGCAAACATAGTACTACGTAGTAAGATCACCAGCAAGCAGAGCGACAGCTCTTCGAGATGATCGTACCAAACGCTCGTCCTGCTCATCATCCAGCGTTTTCAAGTAGTCTGCTTCTGCCGTCAGCCAGTCTTTCTCCCCCTGCGCAAACATCACGGAAGTAAGCTGCATGTTCAAGGCTGCCAGTTGTTTGGCATTCGATACCTTGAGTCGTTCCTCCTCAGCTTCTTCCGCCACAATCTCACGTTGTGCACGCTCGATGATCTCCCTCTTCGGCATCACCACACCACTGGACTTGTATTTTGTTTTGAGTAGCTTCGAGCGCACCTTCACGCGTTGATGGAGTTGTGCGTGCATTTTTTCCGATTCTCCTCGAACGTCATCAAGCTGTAGTAGCTGCTCGACTAACTTCTCACGTGTGTGAACCTGCTCCGCAATTGTGTTTTCCCATTGAGTCCTTAGGCGTTGGTAATTCTCCTTCTCCTGCACCTTCAGTGCTTCTTTTCGTGCGACCCTCTCGGATTTGAATGCTTTCCACTCTCGCTGACGCCGTCGATGCACAATCTTTTGCTTCTCAACATCGTCGATACGACGGCGTTCCTCCTTGCATTCAGCCTCCTCGCGCAGCTTATCATACCTCTCTGTCACCTTGCGTCGGTGTCGGGCCGCTTGTTGAGCTGCATCTCCAGAAAGCCGCAACATATTCAGCTCAAAATCTCGCTTTGCGTTTTCTTCTTCAACTCGTTGGGCATGTTGTTTATCAGCAGCAATATGCCGGAGAAATTGCTGCAGGCGACGTGCCATCTCATCGTGCACAGATGCTCGGAATGCCTCACGTTCCTGTTGTATAGCCGCCATTTCGCGATAATAATGTGTCAGCAGCTTTTTACGAGCTTGAATGCGTCCTAATCGACCTCTATAAAACCGCTGGATGTGAATGGCAAAGACGTTGTGGCGTCGAAGTTTGCGCACGTGGCTTGTGAAATGAGCTCGCATCCGATAGGCGCCTTGCACAGCTAATACGGCTTGTATCTTGCGCCAGATCTCCTCTGCTCTCATTCGTCCGCGCATGCCGCGAAAGACACGTTGAATTTCAAGAGCTGCGATGCTCGCCAACGCGTGACGACGTAGTACCCCAAAGGCAGTTCGCTGCTTGATACGCGTCGCGATAGTGTAAGCGAACATCATAGTGGAGCGAGCAGCTTGGCGGTCTCGGGCATTCTGTGCCCACCTGTGGAAATATAAGCGTGCCACCTTCGTCTCGTTGAAGTACCGGAGTCGCCGTAGAACCCTCCTGTTGTGTTCGCGCCGTCGGGCACGGTACACGAAGTCGCGATAAACAGGAACACTGAGTTCGTCAATTGCGGTGGTGTGTGGTGTCATGCGATGATTCATCAACGTTCGTAGCGGTGGGAGCTGAAGTAGTCGTTTGAAAGCCCGATACGTGATTCGTGAGCACGAGAGACTGGCCGAGGATACTGAATAGGGCGTTGCTCGAAGCGAAGGAAGCATACTAAATGCAGCTTGAAGCTACAAACATGTTTCACTATTAGAAGAAATATTGTGAGGCAGTGATTGACTTACCCTCTCTAAGACAAGGTGCGAAGCGGCGGGATTTTTCATCGTGTGAGCGAACATCAGAGTCACATCGCCAGCGTCGATCGTGTCTCTGTCGTTGAGCTCAAGACAACCACTTGACGCAAATACACTAAAGGCCCAGTTTAACTGTTCTCGCATTGTGAGCAAAGGTTCCTGTAGCAATCTACCAATTCGGCGTAAGTCAGAGACAAAGTGTCAGAGCAGCAAGCTAGGAGAAATGATACCTCAGCGCGATGAGTAGAATTCTCCAGTTGAGAGCGAGGACATTGTCGGCCGATCGCTCACAACAGTACTGTAATTTTTCCAGATGACGGTCGAGCGCCAGGCGAGCTAATATCTTTTCGCCTTCCTCGGTTTCGGTGTTGTAATCTTCACCTCGTGATTTACCTTGCTTGGCTTTTTTGGTTTTACTGCGATGGCGAATCGTCGACACGGCTGGAATTCCAAAAATGTGTCGAACAACACTCGTGAATCGAGCTTTCGTGACGAGATGATGGGGGAGCGCACGAAAGAATCCTTCATAAAGGGATCTCTCATCACCCGCAAGACGGATGCTACGGAAACATGGTGCGGACATGAGTTTCATCTATTAATCCAAAAACCGTAACGGTGTTAGTGTGCTGTGTGGTTCCTAAGACAACGATATACATTTCGCTTACCAATTGCAAAATCTCACGCCACTTCTTGACTTGAAAGATCTCAAGCGTTGCATATGCAGGAATAATTACTTGTGTTGGCAGCTCAGTGATGGCCCAAGGTGCATCCTCTCTTCTCTTCTGTGCTTCGGTCTTACTATTTTTTCGCTCAGATGAAATACCAGATTGTGCGACATCGGACTCGTCCCCTCTCGCTGACGCTAATATGCGTGACTCCAGCTCTTCCAACCGCGCATCAAGATAGGTAATAGCCAGCTGATTCTCCACGTTAGGATCCTTCTCATTTCCTGTATCGATAATAGACAAAGCGTCCCTGACATTGCCTTCAGGGTCTGCATCCATGACGACGCTTTTGTGTCTCTTGGACCTCAAAGCTCCATATCGGGACTTGCTTCGAAAGGTCTTCTGTCTCAGATAGAACTGAAGATCTAGCCCACTGCAGCCTGCTTTCCTCTCCTAACCAACTCGAGACCTCCGTATCGTTCCTTAGGTGTCCGCAAGATAATAGTTTATGTCGAAATATTTGCTGATGGATCTTAGCGGCAAACCTGCTGCTCTGTGCATCTGCTGCGGGGGAGGCTTCTAGTCAGCTATGGTAGGCTCTACGACATGGTGGTGTCCTCGGGGCTGATTAAAGCGTCAACAAAAGCTTTGTCACCTGAACCACTTTCAATCATGTGCTGGATCGACAAGAAGCCATCCCCGTTCATACGGAGAAATGTTTCATCTGAATGAGCAAGCGCCTTGAACGCCTGCTGGAGCACCGCAACGTGGAAAGTGGCCGCACAACTGCTACCATACTCACCTTCGTTTGATGCAGCACAGGAAAACTCGATAAACGCCGACGACGTAGGCGCAAAGTCGATCTCGCACGAACCTGTCTCCGACGTCGCGCTCAAGATTAGACACTTCGCTTCCGATCTATCTTCAGGGCTTCTGCTGTCTGTGTCTGCCATGGCGATCGTCACACTCGCAGCACTGGGCAGATCGTAGAGCTCGGCAAAAGCGTCTCGTAGAGGCTCCGACTGCATAATGCAGCGAGCCACTACTGCAGATTGCTCGAACGCGGTTTCGAACTCCAGCTGGCCCATGTCGCCGCCTTCGTGCTCCAGAACTTGCATGGAGCACTCGCACATGACTCCGCCGTCCTCCACGACGAGTAGCAAACTTGCACTCTATCACAAGAATAAAAGTATCGTCAATACTACATGCGAATCTATCGTATTCTGTCACCTTGTTCTTTACCTCTGGCTCATACGTCATCCGTAGTGACGTGGTGGCTAGAGCGGGGGGTCCAAACATGGACAAGCACTCGATCAGCAGGTTTACGTTAAGGGCGAAGCTCAGCTGCACGGCGTCCTCGTCATCTTCGTCCTCGTCCTCGTCCTGCTCTGCTGCTTCGGGTCCTCCAGCACCGAACTTGTACTTTTCGAAGAGCTCTCGCCCGATGGACGTCTTGATCTGCAGAGATTTGCCCTTCGAATGCGAAGTGAATAGTAGACCCCGTCGATCCACATCGCAGCGCACACGCTGGTCGCGCTTGCCATGCGCCAGGCAGCTTAACAGCGTCACAAGGATTTTCACACTCTCGGCGGTGCAACTAAGTGTCGGTAACGGGACATGTAAAGCACTTCCACGAGTGCTTTCTCCGCGGTTGCCTCTGGGATGGTAATCGTCGAGAAGCATTTCCTAAATGTATTTTTTTAAAATTGCTAAAATAGGCGAAGTCAGAATTGACTTTTTGCTGACTGTAATAATTAGCAGACTAGCCGAGCGCCGCCGCTACGCGGCGATAGTTAAGGTTTTATTCAAGTTGTTTGCCTTCCTCCCTCCGCTTCGCTTCGGGTAGATAATTATTCTAAAACCTATGAGCCCCTATGTGCCTAAATCGACTTCTTTAATCTCATAAATCTGGGTTTAGTTTAGATCATTCGCTACAAAATGCTGAGTTCCCAGTAAGCCGTGCAATTACTACTACAAAAACCTAAGCCCCTAGCATCATACTTACAATGTAAAAAAAGATTATTCTACATGTAGTGATCTTGACACAGTATCTTTATTATTGTTGGCTATCACTGTCAGAATTACCTGCACTTCAAATAGCATGTCTACAAACGCCAAACAATATATTTAGCTTTGCGTCGTGCTCGATATCACGGGCCATTTCTGAGCCGCTATGAAACTTAGCTCACATCAGCGCAAACGATAGTAATGGCCTGTCCAGCTTGCACTATTTGTTACCATCTATTTCAGCTGGTAAGTATTGTGCTTTGCATCGACTTTGTCGCACTTATTAGTGCCCTAATTCATACTTATCTTTTGCACCAATTAGTGCATGATTTCCCACAAGTCGTTAAGATATCCAGTGGAGAGCAGGCCGCACTGCGAAGCTCACAGTGACTAGATCAATTGGCAGCGTCATGTTACAAGTCCACAACGGTGCGTGTGTGTCGCCACGGCTACATGTTTACTTCAGGGAGCATGCTAACACGGACTCTTGTCGTCAACGTTTATTGCGCTGTGAGCTAGTTAGGCAGCACGAGCTTCTTCGCTGCACCGTCAGCGCCAGTGACTCGTCTAGACCGACAGGACTACACGACTATCGGAATTATTATGCTGGTATGACGCTCATCTTCGTCAACACTCTGTCTGGCGTGCCAGATCCTCTTCAAACGCCGGCATCTCGAGCACGGGACAGCTAACAACGAAGGTACGTTACCAAACCTTCACGAGCAACTACATTGAAAACACTCACGCGTGTATGTGATGTCATGTCAGCTGAATACAGAGAAGTATGGTGAGGGTAAGAATACATAAGACATAATTTGCAAGTAAAACGGGCTCGCACTAATTCTGGTTTCGTCTTCATGATCTTATGTACACAGCAGAATTACCTTTTGTTTCACATTTTTCATTCATGGAGTCTAACGCAGCTACAAACGGCGACACTGTGCAAGACATATTTGGCGATGAAGAGATCCAGGTAGTCTTGACTATCAAACTGGGTGAGCCCCTGAACGATGTTCGAGCCGTTCACAAGCAACCACATTCATTGAGTTTACGGTCAGCTGAAGGACATGCCGTATTGCTTGCGAAGGTGAACGCAATTCTAAGCGCCCAAGAGGCCATATCGTGGCCTGAAAAAGACATGTATCTTAAACCTGGTACCAACACGAAACAGCGCGAGTTTGTCAAGCTAAGTGCTGAATCATTTGACACGCAAGTCGTGCAAGCTTGGCGAAATTCACAGCGCAGGAAAGTTGCGCTGACTGATTTCCGACTGCTAGTGTTCGTGTATGCTGTAAAGGTACGGATGTAATTGCTTTCTAATGTATCAAATTTTAATACTAACGTGTTGTGGCTTTGATATGATTGTACAGATTCAAAATTCGATTCGGCGAGCAACTACAGCTCGGATCAACGAAGCGTCCATTCGAATTAGAGAGCACCTCGCTGCTACTAGCCAGCCCCCACTTGAACAAAATAGTTTGGCTTTGCGGTACTTTGCTACACAGCACGCGCGCGAACCAGATGGAACTCAACCAACAGTCCCCGAGCACGCAACCTATCGTCAACTCAGTGCTGTCGACGAGGCTCGCCGCGAAATGGCGCATGAGCAACAAGCTGAGCGAAGGCGACTGGATCGCCGCTTTAGAACGGTAAGAATTATGATAAATGATAGCGAAGTCAACATCGCTGTTTCACTGGATGATCTTCGCGATATCCTCGGCTTGCCGGACTGTGATCTCAGGCGCCCTCATAACGCCGATATACCGATGAACATTCCGGCAAACAATATGGAGGATGAAGATCATCAGTAGCTGTATTATGGGGTTTGTTCAACGCTAGCAGCTCAACTAGCATTTATTAATAATGAATCAGATGCATATCCGCAATGTTTGTAGATTCCACGCGTTCCCTGTTTCGCACGTGTACAGGCGTACATCGCTAAGTCGAGTACTTCCTGTGGCGCAAAGGCAAAAGCCAAATTGGCATTTTTCTGGATCCATCTCTTCAGCAGTGAAAACCCAACTTCGATCGGGTTGAGTTGAGGACAGTACGGTGGTAGATAAAATATCAGCGCACCCACACTGTGGACCGCTTCCTCCAGCTCCCTGTACATGTGAATTTTAGCATTATCCAGTATGAGTATTGAGCGAGGAAGCGGCCATGGGTTCAAAAACGGCAAAATGTTTTCGTGAAAGGTCTTGTGAAAAACGTGCCGGGTAAAAGTCCCAGTTGTGAAACCCCAGCCAAAAAAACCATCCGTCGACATTGCCGCCAGAACGGAAACCCGATCTCCTCGCACAAAAGGCAATGTGACCACTGCAGGCGTGTTGCGCTTCGACCATGCGTATCGCCGGCCTCCATCGCGACTATCCTTCGCAGTCTCATCTAGAAATACAAGCTGCTCGGGCGCTGAGTAGAAGGGAGTTAGCTTGTCAATGTAATCTTGCACTTGGTCGGCCTTAGCTTCGCGTGCTCGTTTAGTTAAAACCTTCCTTGACAGCCCTAAATCGAACCGAAGAGCTCTGCAAATTGTTGCTGTCGACAACTTAATATCCCCATACTTGTAGCGAAGCGTGTCTTGTAGTTCCTCCAAATAAAAGCATGGGTGGTCCTGGACGTACTTTAAAACGAACGAGCACACAGCTGCCGGCCACCGGGAGGCTCGCTTTCTCCGCTTCGTGCCTGTCACCATGCCATGCCTTTTAAAAAGCTGATTCCTGCGCAAGATGGAGCGCGCCGAGGCTCCGAGCACGTGGCCTATCTGGACCACATCATAATTATAAACAAAAAATAGTACTACCGCACGCCAACGAAGGTCTTTTGAATACGCCATGCTGTAAGACTTGTCTTGAAATGGCACTTTTTAAAAGTGCCAAACGAAATGCTTCTCATGTTGGTTGGCTCCGCGCTACTCAGTACATCTACGAACTCTATTGATGCCTGAACACTAACTCGTTCACGGATTACAACAAATCGTACTTAAATACGATTTGTAGATAGCGATACATTCACAAATCGTACGAGTTACTACTAAAACTGCCAAAAAGGCTGCAAAGCACAATAACTAAAGATTATTCACTTCCCATGTCAAACTCAATGAAAGCTAAACAATATTCAAATTGTACTATTTTTAATATATGTAGCGTTCATTTTGTGCTGATTCAGAATTAACACTCGAATCTGGTCAGTTATGATTAAAGCATTTGAATATTATGTCGCAAGACGCCTTGCTGCTGCTGCTGTTGACGGTAGTGTTTTCTATTTGATAATTTACCGATGATTCCAGGATTATTGGACGTCATTTAGGCTCCAAGTTTACTAATGTTTCTTTATGGGGTCTACTTAACCAACTATATTTCTCACCTCTCGTGTTTTGTTGTTGTCTTGCCCCTCCTTTTAAAATTGTATCCTACGCCTCTGTCGACGACACGTCCGCCAGTTAAGTAGTATCGGATTTTGCTGTCTTAACAGCTCTTAGAAAACAATGGTTTACAGCAGTAACACATATGAGTTCATTTTATTCAATCCAAAACTATCTATTTATCTTTATGGATCAAGTGACAATGTTTATTTGCGGCGTTTTGTTCTTACGGCCAGCTTCTGTTGTACATGTACTACGATTTGGCAGCTCAGTCAGTTACCTCACTCTCAGATAATTTATTAATATTTCTACAACAAAAGAGTTGTAGTTGTTATAATCACTGTAACTTGAAGAAACTATTAAGTGCAGAGTATTATATTTTAGTATAACCTCGAAAACACGCATTCCTACGTGTACGCTAAGCCTTGCAGCTTAGGAAGCGTCTTCAGGGGCTACTTCATTTGAGAATAAGAAGCTCTGTCTGTTTAGCACTTAAATATTTTAAGCAACATGCATTATTAAAAAATTAAATATTAATACTTCGTAAAATTAAAATGATGCCGCCTTCGGATAATGGATAGTCTCGTGCAAATCTCCACATGTGCTCTGTGAACCACATGAATTTACTGATGTAAGCTACATATTAATAATTCTGTTTTAACCAATCGAAGCCGCCTTCGCTCAGCTCGGCAGCCAATGATAAAGCTCAAAAACCTGAGCGTTTCGTGTGACGGACGGACAGACACCGTGCTAGCCTTGATACTTTAGGACTAGCGCTCTGGGCGCCCGCTCCGCGGACGCTAGGGCATCGTTGGTTGGTGTAGTGTGGGCTATCCGACTCCGATGCACTGTGATGGGCTTAGAGTTTCAAAGCAACATATAGTACATGTATACTGTGATCTAAGTATATTACGTTCCAAAACAACACCGCACACAGTATCTATAGTGTTCACATGTTATTGAAGACACGACCAGAGTTTAATGTGATCTGCAAGAAGAGCACCATCTTACCCGGAAAGGTTTTGTCTATAATCTCGTTTGAGCGCATTGCTCCCAAAATGACACGAATCGGAGGCGCGCGTGGCTGCAAAGCTAATATATGCTGTTCAGAAGACGGGTCAGTATCAATGATGCTTCGAAATTGGCATACATCGGTGAGGAATCCCAGGTTACCTGGAGTAAATATCCTACTCAAACATCTTACCATCTGCACGTAGGCAGTCGACACCGTATCTTTGATTGCGACGGTCTATTAGAGCACGGTTTGGTCGGCTCCTCGCGTGAGGTATCTTTTTTCAGGTAGTATTTGCCGATG